GGGTGTTGACTATTTTTTTCTTTATTTCTTTTTTAGTGAATTTGACTAGTTTAATTTGATGATTAATTATTTAATAAACAAATACTAAAAGACATAATGAAAATACTGTTTACCATGCCACTCAGCACGAAAGCACAGATCATTGTAATTGTCACATGTACCCTTTTTTTTCCATTCATGTTTTTTTTTTTAATTACGCCATTTTAAGATCAATTTGAAGGCCATTTTAAATAAATTTATTGAAGAATTCAAAGATAAAGGATTAAGATGAAAAAAATAGAGAAAATGGATGGTAATTTAAAATTAGGGTGAAAAGTTCACTTTCTTCCACTTTCTTTTTAAATAATAACTTTTAAATTCCTCAATATTTAAAGGGTGGGAAAAATAGAGAAAATGGATGGTAATTTTAAATTAGGGTGAAAAGTTCATTTTCTTCCACTTTCTTTTTAAATGATAACTTTTAAATTCCTCAATATTTAAAGAATTTAGTTATGATCCAATACTTTATTTTAATTTTTAATTTTTTTAGCTCTTGGTTTGAGAGCAAAAAAGTTTTAGTTGATAACAATTTTGACCATAAAAATATTGATTTTAATGTTATTTAATTTCATCTAATATTTTTTATTATTTTTTTGTTTGAAATTATAGGTCTGAGCTTAATATTTTTTTGAGTCAAAAATAAATTAAAAATTATTTTTTTAACAGACAAACTCATGGCATAAGTTTTTAGCAATCCTCTAATAACTTAAAACTAGATTTACAAACAACACATTATTTACCCTTTGATATAAAAATATAAAATCAAAAGGCAACACAAGTTTGCGTGCGCAATCAGATTGTTTTATTCTTAATTTTCTTTTCTACATTTTACACTTTAATCCACTACTAAAAGGTAATTTGGTATTTTTTTTATTGGATATCATTGAAATTTTTTTCCCATGAAATCATGGCTTTATATATATATATATATATATATATATATTAACAAATGCTCTCTTTAAAAAGCCCTTTGTGTTGTTTGATTAAACACCATTCAATCCATTTATTTTCTTTTTTCATGGAATTTTATTGTATTATTTATTATAACATTAACCAACATTCTATTTTTGCTGAGATCGGCAATAATTCTAGTTCAATTCTTGATACCCAAACAAATACATTGTTAATATATAGACACACACACCAACAAGCTAATAATATAGGTATCATGCCTGACAAGTTGACTTGGATTCCAAACAATTCATGCAGTTGGCCTAGAAAGAGTTTTGCAACCCATTTAGTTAATCTAAGACCCAGGTGATCCGTCTTAACCTAATAAAAACTTGTTTTAATTATTTCTCATATAAATAAGAAAACAAAAGGCTAAACAATAAATGCTTACCCATATATTTTTCTAAAGTGTTCCCAAAATAGGAGTCAATTTTCTTCAACAAATAAAAAAATAATCTACAAATACCTAGCCTCGCATTTTAAACTAACCAAAAAATTAATCTGCATACACCCAACCTCGCATATTTTTTTAGAGTTTGAACAATTTTTACGTGAGTGAATTAAGATACAGTTTACAATTAAGATCCAAAAACAAATTACCATTAAAGATAAAAAAATTCAGGAAGTATACGTCTTATCTTACGTGCAAGAAAAAGCAATTAAAGGATTATCTTGCTCAACCCTACCTTACACGTGCGAGCCTATCATTATTTCTTTTTTAGTTATTAATTATATCAAAAATCATCATATAAATAATAAAATAAAAATTTATTTTTTTAATGTAGAATTAAAAACATAATATATATATATATTCACAATAAGAAAAATATGTTTTTTCAATAAGAAATCATTTTAATTTAAATACTTAAACTTAGAATAATTAGATAATATATCTTTTAAATTTTATTATCTATAATATATATAACTTATATTTACATGAATTATTTCTTAATTTTTATTAAAATCTTAAATATTTATTTTAAAATTTTATTGGATTTGATCCAAAATTTATCCCCTGACCATATCAAACCTTTAATCAAGTAAAGTTTAATAAATATGGCTAACAGTACTCTATTTTGCAGCAAGTTTTTTTCATGATCAACGAATTAAATGGGGGTGAATTGCAATATTAAAAAAAAAAAAAACAGGGGAAAGTTAAAACTCCTGTTGACCGATAATCCAATATAGGATTTCACAGCACTGTTACAACATATATTATGATTTTTCTTAACTCTGGCAGCATTCTTGTCTGTGTTTCCCTTTTCAAGTATCGACAAATTACTCGACGAAAGCTAGACCTCTATCCACCTTAATTTGTTTTTCCTTTTTCTTTTCATTTATTTTATATATCATCTCAGATAGAAATGAAATAAACAGATGCAATCTACTTGGTGCTCTATATAGCATCATAGGCGATATTTTTGGAATAATTTTTGCACTCATAACTCTTTGTCTGTTCTGCATTATATTAATCACCTATGCTATTCTAATAATAATTTATATGACATTTTCCACGGTGTCCTGCATGTTTATTTTTGAATTTTAGAAGTGCTCCTGAATTGCTCCGATATAAAACAGGCTGTTAGCTGCGAGGGCCGGGGACAAGGTGGGTGTAAATCTAAGAACCACGTATGTCCTCTACCGTTTGATTTGCTAATCATTCAATTTCCGTGATTATATATATATATATATATATATATATATATATAGAGAGAG